GTGCTCAAGCAGCTTAACAAGAAATCCTATGTCAATATTCTCCAACAAAGAACAGTTAATTCCCAACAATGCTCATGGATCTTAAACTTAAAATACTTATTCAACTAGCAGACTGACAATACCCGACCATCACAAAGGAGATACCTTTTAAATCCCTATTTACTCCCAATCGTTCTTTGACAAAGGATATGTTTCTTGATCATTCTGAGCCCAAGGGCAATATCTTTTCAGGTACCAGCTATATTGCATGAATATTCACTGTAATGAATATTCAATTTTTTAAAAACCTCCTAAGACAGAAGTCACTTATTCTGCATTTTCAAACTCTCCCCAATTGCAATATAAAGTGAGGACCAGATTTTTACATTTTTTAAATAAACCAAACATACATATGCCAGTATTCTAGACAGAACCTTGAGTTTCAGCATTAGAAACCCCATATTAAAGCATTGGAGTAGTAAAGTATCTGAAGTCCACTAGATAGCTTAGACAAGTCACTAAACAGTCGCAGCTTAACCTGCTTCATAGGACTGTTGTGGAACTAAATATTGCTCGTTGAAATATTTGTTCAAGGATAGGCTAGACATGCACATGGTTAGCATGTTGTGAGCGGAGCTGGCTGGAGCTGGGGGTCTGTCTATATGGCCTGGGAGAGCCCTTCTGACTCACTCTGTTTCTATTGCTAAGCTCTACAAAATGGAAGGATTATTTATTTATAAAGTTAACTTGTGCTGAAGTCTAGTAGGATCCACTGAGGGTTCTCCCATGCCCCAAGAGAACACAGCCTACTTGTGGAAGACAGACATTGGTCAGGTACAATGTCAATACTAATGATCATGATCTAGTCAATGCTTATATGTTTTCTTAGGACCATTTGCAGGTACATTTTTTGATACAAGGCTTAAGAAAGTAAACCAGCATATGGCCTTCCTGTGGTTACTGGAACAGGCATGAAACCAGCAGTGGAAAATAGACATGGCTGGACAAAGCACAGTCACGTTCCTTATCTTGTCCCTACCAGAAATCAACACCAGAGGAAGTCAGAACTCTAGATCACAAAAATATTGCATAAACAGAGCTCTATAACAGCCACATGCTGTTCACTCTTGAAAAGGGTGAAAAGGGAACCATTTTAACAAGAACAGAATTACTGGGGAGACTGCACAAATGTGGAAAATGTAGCTGTAATTCAAAAAGGAAGACTGGAAGTTAACATCAAGTACATGGGCATGGCTTAAGTGGAAGGAATTAGCTGAAATGCTATGTGATAAGAGGTTCACCAACAAATCTGCAAACAAAATTTGTTAATGATATTTATCCTTTTTTCCCTTTCTCCTCCTTTTTTGCTACCATCCCTTGAATTTCCTCATACATGTTCATGCTGCACAGCATAGAAAACAATATATTTCCACCATTTCAGAATGTGAGACAAACAGCAACACAGTGAAACAAGCTACTACAGAAATGGGAATACTTTGGTGGGTGCTGGGAGGGAATAAGTGAAGTAGTGAGAAACAGATGTGGCTTCACTGAACTGAAAATAAGTTGTGGGAAGCAAAGCTGCAGTATTTTGAACTTTTAGAGTAGCTGTGTGTGTTAACTGCAGCAAAAACAAAGAAGCCAGGGAGCAAATATAGACAAATAGATTTATTGTGGCATAAGCATTCACAGAATAGAGCCCACTTCAAATCATGATATCACACACACACACTTGAATATTTGCAACTGGACAAATGGCCATGAGGTCTATTTAGCTTTTTGCAATAATTCTACAAACAGCATGAAATGTATTAACAGGCAATAACAGAATCTTCTTAGAATTTGCTATGCCTATTAACACCTATAGAGGGAGAGGGAACTTAATCCCAGCAAGCTGAACTTAACATTTATAGAATACAGTTTAGATACATCTTCCTACATCTTATAGAACTGAAGTATTGTTACAATAGCAAAAGAACTTAGCACACTACTTAGCACCCCTATGGTAACAGTGCAGGTATAATTTGTCCCTCAGCAGTTTAGAGGAGGCAGTCACAACACTGCTATGTTAAGGTATTACTTTGAAAACTAGAACTTCAAATATTGAGTGGTATACAAATTACACACACATAGCACTACAACAAAAATAATACAATCTTGCAAGCTAGGGTAAAGTCTCAAAGTATAAAAGGCTAACCATTAACACCCATGAAATGAACTACCTCAGCTATACATACAATGCTTACTTCCAAACTAGTGTGATCTAAGAAACTTGTCTTTAGACAATGTACCAGCTAAGCTAACAGCAGGGTCTAAGTGATCAGAGCTTATAACACCTGCACCAGCTGCTTTGATTGGTCATGAATTTCCACACTGGGAAATTAAAAGTAATCACTTTAAAGCCTTTGGGAACAGATAATTTGAAGGACTGCCCACACCCATATGAACTTGCTCAGGTCTTGAGATCTGAAGCCTTGCTTACGGCCTCACTACTGAGCCTTCCTAGATTGGCAGGCACCAGAGAAAAAGTCTTTCCATAATGACCCCATGCTTGTGTAATTCTCTCCCTAGAGGTATGCATGGCACCTGGTCTACTAGGTTAAAAACAGACCTGAAAATCTTTTTATTTCAAACTTCTCTTTAATGTGTAACGTTCTTGCATTGTTTTAAGTGTTCTCTGCATGTTAACTTTTTTTACTGTTTTAGAAGGCAGCTGTACTCATATCTGATACATTATGGTTTTCATGTAAGCTGCCATGAGAGATTTTTCCCTGAAAGGTGGCATATAAATCTTCAAAATAAATTACTAATGTGATGCAGACCCTTCATATTTCATAGTGTTATCTTTCTGTTCTTCTCAACTCTTGTCATGCCCCTGCTGAAGGAAGCCACTTTCAGAGCCAAAGTTTCACAGAGCAACCTATTCCAGGGGATGGAAAGGATCAAATGCAACTTCGGCTGTTAAGGAAGATAGTTGTGGGACCATTTGTACAAAATGAGAGGAACCTTGAGATGGAGATTCAGTGATCACCTAACCCCTGAGTGCAGAAACTTCTCAAAATGCAAGCCAGATCAATAATTAGAATAAAAGAAGTACATGGTTACAGAGGAAGGCTCCTTTGAGTAAAGGGCTGCTTGTGTGCACAGTCCTCATCATGAGTCGGACATCTTTCTTTCTTAAGTTTCTTATGTTCTGCCGCTGAGACCTAGGGGGGATGTTGAATGCTTCAGTTGATAAGCATCCATTCTAACCAGGAAAGGATGCTGGAACAGCAGCTTTATATTACTTCTGATCTTGTTTCTGAGTTAGTGTCCTTTGCTGCCTTCTTTGTTGGACATCCCATGAGTAAATCTTGGGTTGCCTAGTAACTCTGCATTTGCACTCTTAGTGCTATGCTCTTGGTGTGAACCCTAATACTTGACACATGCTTGACACACACAGTGCAAGCAGGTCAACTGTTTATACATCTACCTACTTGGCCTGCTGTGCAAAAACACAGTACTACTAAAAAGTCATCACTGTAAATGGGATAAACATGGGACACTGAGGGCTAAAGTAGAATTTTCACATGTGTGCCCCACAACTCATTTCTATAGTACCTCACTTTTTTTCTTATGGTCATTTCAAAACCATTTCCTCAGCAGCAAATACAATCTCCCTCCACAAAATACATCTAACACTTTTAAAGCAATGATCCCATATACTCTTAAGAGGGAGTTAAGCACAAAAGGACTTCACAGGCCTTCTGATAAACACATTTAGGGCCACACTACATTGCCAGTTCACCACTACTGAGAACAACCAAATAAAATTGGACCAAAACACCCTCCAACTTTGGCAGTAAGGGCATGAACTCCAGCGGTAGGGCCATTTCCATTGGTAATGTGTTCCAAAGGTAATTCAAGGGTACAGTCACAGATCAAATGCACCATACATTAATTTTGTTGTGAAGCTGATTATCCTAGCAAATCAGGCATCCTATAATTGTGGCACTATTATTAAGAGTCAGTTTTACACCTCTTTAATTTGTCTCAGAGAAAGGGGGTGCAGAATTTCTCTCAAAGCATTTTATTCTAGGATATTTCTTAAAGAGTAGCCCTCTAGTTCCTGAATCCCAGTTCTGATTGTAGCACAGGTCCAAATAACTCAAAATGTGAACGATCCGAGCTACAGAAAGAGATAAATCCAAAGGACTCCTGCAAGAAGAGTAGTATCCCAGTGAGAAGTTTAGCAGATGACATAAAAGGGTGAAAGGAAATGTGTATACTGTGAATTAGGAAAGCAGAAGGCCCTCGTTAAGGGAAAAAAGTCAAGAAAAGTCGGAGAGCCGTAAGAGCAGAACTAGCAGAAGATAGCGGAGTAAGAAACGTGAGAAGAAAGAAGGGCAGGTATAAAACAGACAGGATCCTATGAAGGCGTATGAGAAGTATAAGAAAAAAGGAAAATAAATAGATGCTGAAAAAAGCTACAGTCCGCCTACTTCGGGATAACTAAGCCCACAGGGCTTCTACCTTCCAAGTAGACAGAAGTACAGGACTGCGCTGTAAAACCCGAGGTAAGAGGAACAGAGATAGAAAGGAGGGGGAAGGGAGGATGCGGAGCTGGAGTTGGGGGCTGGGAATCCCAAAGGCACATACATAACGGACCTACAACGTGGGGGAGCGGAGAAGGGAAGACGAAAAAGGTGACCGGGCCGGCGCAGGACGTGGATGGGAAGAAGAGGGGGGACGGCGCCAGGGCGAGGTATAAGCGGCGTCGGGCGCGGGGTAGTCACAAAAGAGGCGCGTGTGCGCGGTGCGGGTCGGAAGGGAAGGGAAGGGAAAGCGAGAGCAGCGACCTTCCCTGTCCCTGAACGCGCCTGCTCGGCAGTCAGCTGGACAGGTCGCCAGGCTGCAATCCCCGCTCAAGTCAGTCCGGCTAATCGCAGAGGGGACGGGGCGGGATCGGGGGGTCAAGGGCTGGGCAGGGGGAGGAAGGGATGGATATGAGGCGGCAGCCCTTGAGGAGGGCAGTAGCTTACACTGGGAGGCTCCCGGGATGCCCACCATCGCCGAGCTCCGACCGGCGCCCTTCCTTTGTTCCGCCCTCCTCAGCGGAGACAGCAGCCAAGACAAGACCGCGGGCGGGCGGACAAGCACAGACAGACTGCGCCGCCAGCACCGCGCTAGGCCTTTGCCTCAACCCCACCCTCCCGCCTTGTGGGCCCGCCCCCGGTGACGTCACCCAGCTCTCGCACTCGCTTTCCCCGCTGCACTCCCTCGATCGCAGCCAGGGGCGCCCGCTTGGGAAGGGGCGTGGCTAGTCAAGGAATCGTCTTGCCATTGGAGGAGTTCGGCGCCTTTCCTAAGGGAGGGCGGTGCGGCGGGTGGCGTAACAACAGAAGAAAAGGCATTCCGGATTGGAGTTGTTCATCGAGACAAGTTTCCGTCACACGGTGGTAAACCAAATGCTCACAGCATCCCTCAAGCAGGATCAGTGCTCGTGGTCTCCAGCAACTGGTGTTCACTGGCATACTGCCTCTGATTAGGAAAGTAGCACATAGCCATCTTGACTAGTAGTCACTGATAACTTGCTCCATGAGTTTGCCGTCCTTGGGTCGTGCCATTTGACTTAGGATGGAAGGTCAATGGGTAGTTTGCACCCCTAGTCCCAAAAGCAAAACGATATCCTTAGATGCATGTTTATTGAGAAATCTGTTTAAATAACATTTTAAAATAATTAAAATTTAAAAATAATATAAATATTATTATTGATGGCTGACAGGACCCAGAGAGAATAGGTGCATTGGGAGTGTACAATTAAAAGAAAGTCAAAGCCATTTCAGGGCAGATATACATTAGCATATGGTGGGGAATTAGGACCAGGATGCCCATCTAAGACTGTTCTTGTCAGTTTCAGACTTTCTGCAGCTGTACTGTGGTGAAGCTAGTCCTGACAGGGCTATTTATTAGACACCAATTAAACTTAGTAAATGTTTAAAATTGTAAGATCAGCAACAGAGACCTTTCTCACTTGTCCACCTTTGAGGGCAGGTAGGGCAAATACATGAGGAATGGAATTTTCTGCAGTGGAACCACAGTTCTGGAATGGATTGCTATCGGAGTCAACCAGGCCCCATGACTGCAAGGCCTTGTAAGAAGACCATAAATAATTACTTCTTTACTCTGGCCTTCCATTGATTATGGTAAGAACATAAGACCATAAAAACCCATGCTGGATCAGATCAATGATCCATCCAGTCTAGACTTATGTTCACATGGTGCCAAACCAGCTGCCCACAGGATCCCCAGGCAGGGTGGCTGCAAGAGTTTCACCTGTCCAAGCTTCTCAGCAACTGGTGTATGTAGGCATGCTGCCTCTGATGACAGAGGCAACGCAAATCCAGCAAGGCTAGGAGCCATTTATAGCCACCTTCTCTATGAATTGTCCGATACTATTTTAAAGCAGACAATTCTGAGTTGTAGTTGCAAATGTGTTGGATGTTTTCAGTGCTACCAGATATTTGATTCTCATATTTGATGTTTGTATGAATGTTGGCTTGTTTTATTACTGTATCATTTTTTAGTATATGAATGTTATTATTGTAAGGTGCCTTGAGTGTACTTCTGACCTCAAACACCGCCTAGAAATCAATACAAAACACAATGTGTGGTATGAATTTTACTGGAATTTTGTATTGGTATGACAAAGAAAATTGTATTGGGTATGAAGTTGGTATTAATACTGTATATGGATAACTAATATCTTACTGTTTTGAAACAATCTGATCGAATTGTGTTGCCTTGCTAGATAATATAACAGCATTTGCTTGTTTGAACTGGGAAATCTAAATCAAGTTCATCCACAGTATCTTGACAAGTGTTTCTTTTTATTTTCACCACTAAAACAGATTCCACAAATGCTTAGTTTAGCGCCTGTGAGGATCAGCTCATAATATCCATCTACCTTCTGAACTGATTCACTTACATTGCAAGGAAATGTTGATAAATTGCACAAGAAACGTGTACAACAAACTCCTGATTTATAAAGGCTTATCCTTGATCTATAATGGCAAAAATGTTTAGCTGTGGCCTACTTTTTAAGCATAATCCCTGATTATACCTGCCTCCAAGTATGCTTGAAATTCTTAGCACATTATTCAAGCAGCTTTATATATTGTGCTCTGTTTCATTTTCTTAAAGGTTTAATTATGCATTTCATTCCCTTCAGACCTATGAAACCGAAACATTTGATTTTGTGGGCTTAGGTGTAACTAACTGCATAGAAGTGGGCTTGTTCATCAGAAAGAAAGCAATATTTCCTGCTGTAGGTAGAATCCAGTAATTTATTAATACAAATCATTTGTCCGACTGTCAGTGGATGAAGTGGTATGCAGTTTACATTCCACTAGCTTTTGGGCCTGATTGCTGGGAATTATGAGAGTTGCCACTTAGCAGAAGGCTACCAAGCTAAGTAGTATATGCCCCTCAAAGCAAAGGAAACTCTTACTTCCAATGTGACAACAGTCATGGACTAAGGGGAAGGCAGAGAATGAGGTGGCTAGATGGAGTACTGAAGCAGTGGGTGTGAGCTTAAGTGGACTCGCAGGGGGGTCTCGGGGGGAACTCGATGGTGGAGAACTGGAAGGCCTGGAGGAGTGTAGTCCATGGGGTCGCAATGGGTCGGACAGGACTTCATGCCTAACAAAAAAGTCGACCCATTGCGACCCCTTGGACAACTTTCCTCCAGGCCTTCCTCTGCTCCATCATCCCCCCCCCCCACGTCCACTTAAGCTCACACCGACTGCTTCAGTGACTCTGTCTAGCCACCTCATTCCCTGCCGTTCACTTCTTCTTTTGACGGCAATTGTTCCCAGCAATAGGCTCTTCTCCAGTGAGTCCTTCTCATTAGGTGGCCAAAGTATTTGAGTTTCATCTTCAGGATCTGGCCTTCTAAAGAGCAGTCAGGGTTGATCTCCTCTAGCACTGACTGGTTTGATCACCTTGCAGTCCAAGGGACTTGCAGGAGTCTCCTCCAGCCTCTGGCAAACCATTATCTCTAATCCTTAGCTCTAGTCTTTAGAGTGGAGATAAAAATACTGACCTCTATCTTTCAGGGTTGTTGTAAACAGATCATTGAGATAAATCTGTGCATAGTACTTTAGAAATGCTTATGTGACAAAGCTAAGTGACAATGATGATGATTGTGTTGTGATGTGATGGTTATCAATTCACTAGTATGTATATATTTACATTATCCATACTCTTTCCTAAACAGAAGCTTTTTCAATGAAAGAAGGTGTAGTCCTGCAATCTATTTTAATTTGTGGAGTAACAAAAACAAACAAACAAACAGAATATTCTCCTCAATCATGTGTAAGGCAGCTTCCCCTAATGCAGCATTCCCAAACCTGAAGTTCTGGAGTAGCAGTAATCTGCGTCCATTTCATGACCATGCTGAATGGTGATGATTTGAGTTCTACTCCAACACATTTAGAAGGTGCCAAGTTGAGGAAAGCTGCTTTAATCACTCTCTCCTCCCACTCAGTTTTCTCCACTGGCATAAGCCCAGACATCGTTGCTCTTAGGGCAGCCTTCTCCAACCTGAAGCCTTTTGGATATTTTGGTCTAAAGTTCCCATCAGTGTCTGCAACATGACCAAAGATCAGTTGTATTCCAAAGCATCTGGAAAGCATCTGGTTGAGAGCAAGTTTCAGAACCTGTATTTCTCAAGTTCAGCAATGAGTGTCAATCCTGTAGCAAAACAGCACTATCCATGCACAAAAGGGAAGCTTCAACAGGCTTGTAGGAGCACCAAGTCTTGCTGAAGTTCACGATATTTTTAGGGAAAACATCCTAAAGCAGCAGGGGTACCCTTGAAAATAGCTGGACATTATTTATTTATTACAAGCATTTATATCCCGTCCTTCCGCGGAAGTGCTCAGGACAGCTAACATAATATATTATTATTATTATTATTATTATTATTATTATTATTATTATTATAACATTTCTATGCTGCCTGAAATACAATATTAAAACTACAATTATTAAAACATCTAAAATTGAACATTATAAACTAAACTTTAAAAAAGGAAAAATAAAATAGAAAGTGAACATGCTAAATCATGGAATGCTGGGTAACCACTTACATGAGATGGAAAACCATGGGATTGGAATAGAGTATCATGGAAAAGGACATGGCTGTCTGGCGGGAAACCTGAAGTTCTACCTATTGCAAGTGCCCAACTTGTATCATCTCCTTCCTCATGTTCTCTTGGCTATACATGATAATAGCCATGTTATTGTCAGGTTCAAATGCATTTGACTTTGATAGATTGCTTGCGAGAAGAACATTACTTAAAAACATATAAGGGGTTGTGCTCTCTTAGGTTTATTTAGTAGTAAAGTCACACCCGACCCTTCATGACCCCATGGACACCATTCCTCCAGGCTCTCCTGTCGGGGAAGGATGAGAGGACTTTATAAAAGATGAACTCCCACAAATAGTTCAGTTCTTTGCTGTGTGCTAAAATGGTAATTACCCGCATCTGGATGATACACCAGCAAGGCACAGTACTTCATGACTTCACAGTAGCCTTGACTCTGAAAATGTTTGGCACACCTGTTTCATTAAAGGCTTGCAGATTCATAACTCATGATCTTAACAGGCAAGATAAGTAGCTTAATCTTGGCCATAATTGCTCTCCAGGGAGAAAAATGAAGCCATTGAACAAAAAGGGAGGCGCGCTCTGTTGAAACAAATGCTCCTTTAAGTATAGGAATGAAAAGGTTCTGAGAGGGTTCCTACCAAGAGTGTGGGACCCAGCATGATGCTTCTTTTATTGTTGTAAGAGGGCATCCATTTCAGATTTGTCCTGGAGGAGGGACGGTAGATTGCTGATAAAAATAAAACTGGAGAGAAACACTCCAACTCTCAAAATAAATTAACATGTATTCTGTTATTAACTTTCCTTACTGACTGCAGTAACAGTATAACATTCAGCCCTTTCACAGCAGGGTTGGTGCATCTTGCCTAGATGCAGGAGGTAGAGAACCTGTATGGTCAGAGTCATCACATGCAGTACAGAGAACAGTCTGTACCATAACCACCAGGTTCTTTATGACTCAAAGAAGAAAAAATAGCAGTTTTCTAGATCTCAGAATAGAG